AATGAAAAGATGATTTGCATTAGGAAAGTCTGCTGTCAGAGATCTCTCCAAAGTACTGAAGAGCAATGATATCAATCTGGAGACTAAGGTGTGCCTCATACAGGCCATAGTCCTTGCTGTCACTTGCTATGCATCAGAGAGCTGTAAAATGACTAGGGATGAAAGGAGAATTGAAGCCTTTGAGTTGTGGTTTTGGAAAAGAGTATTGAATATACCATGGACTGCTAGGAGAACAAGCAAATTCATCCTGGAGAGGGTGAAACAGGCTCCTCCTTGGAGCAAAGAATATGAAGCTATGTCTGACATACTTTAGGTATGTTGAAAAGAGGGACCAGTCCTAGGAGAGGGATATCATTCTTGGGAAGACAGAGAGTCAGTGCAACAGGGGAAGACCTTCAATGAGATTGACTATAGTGACTGAGATAGTAGGGGTAGATGTGTCAGAGACAGTAAGATTGGCACAGGATAGAGCAGAGTTTGGGGCTGTTGTACACAGGGTCACTATGAGTCACAGGCGACTCAACAGTAAATAACAATAACATACACACACAGGCACGTGCACACACAGAAACACACACATATTCATAGTATTGTTTTCATACTCACAACAATCATCCAAGGGTTACAGATGAGGGCACAAAAGATTGAAGATATTTTAAAAACTCAGGTTTACACTGCATGTAAACGATGGGCTCTTAAGATCAGCCTAAGTCTGATTGTAAAGTCAAGGCGATACTCACTGTAGCACTCAGCCTTTCTGGTGGAGGAGGTACAGAAGCATAGAACAACTAATGTGCAGATTGTGCCCTGTAAATAAATTATTTACATAGGGTACTTTTAAATTAAACATATATATACTTTTACATTTTTTTATTTTGTACTGATTTATTTACAAAGTTTGAATACATTGTTTTTCATACAAGATCCTTCCCATTTTCTTCACCCCCCCATAGATACATACTTTTGTAAACAAAACAAAACAAAACAAAACAAAAACCCATAATTAAACACACACACATAACTTCCCTAAACAAACAAACAAATCCCATCAATTCACTGTTACATAGTTGATTGTGACTGATAGAAACCCTTCATCAGGTTTTCAAGACTGCTAAGGGGACAAGAGTTCCCATCTTTCTCCTTCATAGCAGCTGGTAGATTAGAACCATCAAAGGCATGGACATTTTGATAGCTAGTGACACAACATGCTATGTAATATGCTGTCAATTTTTGTTTTGTTGTTGTTATGTGCCATTGAGTCACTTGCAACTCACAGCAACCCTATGTACAATAGCCCTGAAATCTGCTCTATCCTGCGCCAATTTCACTGTTTTTGACACATCTACCCTCATTACCCCAGTCACTGAATCCATCCATCTCATCGATGTTCTTCCTTTCTTTCTCTGTCCTTCCACTCTTCCAAGCATGATATCCCTCTCCAAGGACTGGTGTCTCCTTGCAACATACACAAAGTGTGTCAGACGAAGCCTCAGAATTCTTGCCTCCAAGGAGCAGCCTGGTCTCACCTTAGGACAAACCTGTTTGTTCTCCTAGCAGTCCATGGTATATTCAACACTCTTCTCCTGCACCATAGCTCAAAGGCATCAGTTATCTTTCTGTCATCCCAGGTCATTGTTCAGCTCTCTGACACATAGCAAGCAATTGCAAAGACTATGGCCTGGACCAGGTACACCTTAGTCTCCAGAATGACATCGTTGCTCTTCAGTACTCTGGAGAGGTCCTTGAGAGCAGATTTTCTCATTGCAATTTGTCTTTTAATTTTCTGGTTGTTGGTACCAAGAGTGTTGATTGTAGAGCCAATAAACTAAAGCTCTTAACAATCTCAATCTCTTTACCATCTGTCATAATGCTGTCCATCATCCCAGTGGTGAGACACTTTGTTTTCTCAATGTTGAACTTCAACCCATATTGAAGGTTTCAGTCCTTGACCTTCTCCTGCAAGTGCCTAAGGTCCCCTTCAGTTTCAGCAAGCAGAGTTGTGTCATCTGCATAAAGCAGAATGTTGATGAGTCTTCCTCCTATCCTGATGTCACATTCCTCGTCATACAACCCAGCCTCCTGGATAATCTGTTCTGTACATAGATTGAAAAGATATGGAGATAGGACACATCCCTGGCATGCACCTTTCCCAATTTTGGTCCATTCACTGTTTCCTTGCTCTGTTCTGATGACGACTTGCTGGTCTAAGTATAGGTTTTTCATAAGGCCAGTTAAATGTTCTGACATTCCCATTCTTCTCAGAGTTAGCTGTAGTATATTGTTATCCACACAGTCAAATGTCTTTGCATAATCAATGAAATACAGATAGACATTCCTCTGGTACTCCTTGCTTTCAGCCAAGCTCTATCTAACATTAGCTATAAAATTCCTAGTACCATGGCATCTTCTAAAAGCAACTTGCACATCTGGCAATTCTGTTGATTTTATGTTACCAGAGCATCTTTAAAATTTGCTGAAGTTGTATGTCTGCCCTTGGGAAAAGTCCCTTTATTTAGGTATGGCCTGGGGTTGGTTTGGACCAGATCCACATGAAAGGAAAGATAAACTTTTGAACATTTTGGTGTGTGTACTGTTGCATCAGAACTGACCCATAGCTGATGCTCCAGTGATTTTTCTGAGGCAATTAATTGCATGGGAGGAAATGACCCACTTTTCTCCCACAGAGCAGCTTGTGGACTGTAACCACACGCCTTTGAAATTGCAGCCCAGCTTCTTGTCACTACGCTACCAGAGCTCCCTGCATTATATACATTACAAAACATACATTCCAAAAGTATAGTGGGATTGGTGATTCAAATCCACCAGCTGCTCTAAGATAGCTAGATAAGACACTCTACGCTTACTAAGATTTACAGCTTTGGAAACCTGGTGGAAGGTTGCTATGTGTTGGAACTGACCTGGTGGCAGTGGGTCTGGTTTTGAACACATCAAAGTAGCTCTGGTGGCTCAGTTAATTTAGCTGCTACCTGAAAGGTCAGCAGTTTGTTCTCACCATTTGCTTCAGGAGAGAATGATGCTGTAACTACGCATTAGTTTAGACTGTATGTATACACAAAGGATTAATAATTGTTATTTTAAGCTATGCCCAGAATATGTTTAGAAGTAGATCTTGATGCTATAATTCTGCCTGATCACTTTTTGTTTTCCAGATGCTAGACTTAATTTTGAATTTTTTTTTCACTTCATTTCATTTTGTCTTGGACTTTCTCATGGAGGTAGACTGTAAACATTACTGATGCTTCTCTACCATCTTTTCTTCCCTTCCTGTTTCTTCCATTACTGAGAATCAGGCTCTGGCTAGCCCTCATTGCTGGCAGCCACCAGAGTTTATGTCAACCCACAGACTTACTATTTAAGTAACAAAGCTATTTTACTTCTTTTCTTCTAGGGAATTTGGTATTTTCTTTTGTACTGCAGAAGGGATAAAACCCATTAATTTTGAAACAAATGTATGCAAATACATTTATTAATATAGGAAATAGAAAAATCAGTTATTGCTTCCTTTATAAATAATACAGGCTTAAGTTCTAAAGATATTACTTTTGTTAAAATGCATTAGACAGCTGTGAAAAAAATAACATTTTTCTTTGTGGTAATATCTTTAACCAGATTTGTAGCACTAACAATATTTCCTATGTATATATTATTTTTATTTAATACAGGTAATCTTTTTATTACCAAATCATATTGTTTCTCAGGAGATTGCCATCAGCACTCATAAAAGCTGCAAAAGGAAGAAAGTATGAAGAGAAGGCATCAATCTTCAGCAGATGTAATTCTCTGTCTGCAGATTAAATACATAAGGCTCTTAATGTGCTTCAATGAGTGCCTCATTAGGTGCAGATTTATTTAGACCCTTTCCACATTTGGCTTCCATTTCAATTTTAATTTAATGGTGGACTTCGTCACCAGTTTTAACCAAGAGCAAAACAACTTTAGGGGAAAAACATCTACACTTTTAAGCTTCCATTCACTGTGTTTGTTGAGAGTCCAGAGCTAATGAGGCCTCTTGGTGATCCTGACTCTATGCCTTACCAGGATAATTGCTGGTCAGGTCTTGCCCAGTGAAACTCCCCAGGGTAACTACTTCGATTGTGTGACATCTTCTCTCTGCTCAGCAGCAGCTGAGGTCCCTGTGGCCCATACAGTAGATGAAGTCTTTGTTTCCCACAGTAAACTGGAACAAGGAAAAAGCATGGTCTTGCAGTTTCCTCTTGGCTTTGATCCTGCATCTTGACCACTAAACTTCTAGGAGCCTCAGTTTTCTAATCTATAAAATGGTGTTACTAATTCCTCTTAGATGCAAGCACTGTCAGGATTGAAAGATACTTCCTATATATGTACAGTGTAAAATTCCAGAGAACAACTGAGTGAAAGAAATGACTTCGCATATGTAGGACTTTATGAATGAACATATGTATATGAGTTGTTGTTGTTGTTGTTGTTAAGTGCCATGGAGTTGTAGGTGACTCATAGCAACCCTATGAGCGAAATTCCTCAACACTTGCGTGATGAATTTCATCCTTTCTCCAGGTTGATGGGGTTTCCTGAGGCAAGCTATTTATGGAAGTGGATGCTGCTCCTGCTTCCAAGCTTGTTTCAACTGGGAAGCACCACCAAACACTGTCCACCAGGGGCAACCGTTATTACATTTGGCACATCAGTGTCACAGTGTTCAGCTTCAAAGCAACCACAAGTTACCTCTGTATGGCAAGTGGACACACTAGGGCTATATGACCTAGAAGACTGTTTGAACAAAAACAATGAAAAACAGGCCTTAGGGCCGCAGATTGATGGCACTTAATATAAAAGAGTAGATAAATAAATATGTTGTATATTTAGACAAGTTGACTCTTTGCATAAGTGGCACGTGGAATAAATGGATGGATGAGTGGATAAATGCCCATGCAAGCTGTGCTTGTTCAGTGTTGAGGGCTCTGCTGAATACTGATGATCATGCCAGCCCCTTCTCACCACAGGGTGGAAGCTTCGATGTGGCAGATAGAATGTTCCACAGTGTGAAGAATGCGTGGGAGTCTGCGTCCAAGGAGAACATGAGTGATGTTCGGGAACTGACCCCAGAGTTCTTCTACCTGCCTGAGTTCCTAACAAACTGGAATGCAGTGGAGTTTGGTAAGCAGAGGGCCTGAGTGAGGCTGGCTGGGTAGGTACAGTTGCAGCCATTCCTATCAACTTGTCTGTCAGCCTTACCAGGGCTGACTGAGCAAGTAAACAGGGAGGCCTCCCAGAGGATCAAGTGCAACTGGTATGAGACCAGCACTTTGTGGCAGCATCAAGATGAAATGCTCGAGTTATCAAAAGATGCTGGCTAAACCCTAGGCCGTCAGGGGAACTCTGAGGGAGGATACCCCCAAGGGCCTTTCTGACAAATGCTCCAGGAAGGGATCTTGGTAACAGCCCAAGGACAGTTGGAGAGACACAAGTGGCAGCTTTTCCTCTTTGCTGTGCTTCAGCCCCAATGCCAACCAAGGTACACCTTGCTTCCTTTGTGCTTCAGAAGAGGAGGGAAAACAAAACAAACAAAAACAGAAACTCCCTAGCCTGCTGAGTCAGGGAAAGTTCCAGAGGGAGGGAGAAACACCTGGTCACGTTTTGTAAATCAAGTTGTGGTTATCTGTGGAAGAGGTGAGGACCATAGCTATGAATGATAGCTCATACAGAGGATGGAGGTTGCTCAAGAGAGATCAGGTGCCTGCTTGAAATATTCCCTTGAGCTCAGGTAGAATGATTGTTTTACATGTTCTGGTAACTGACAGGTCAGAGGTTCAAATCCACCAGCTACTCTTTGGGAGAAAGATGGACAGTCTTTCCCCTAAAGATTTACAGCCTCGGACACTTGATGGGAGATTGTTATGAGCTGAAGGTTGTTATGAACTAGATGGCAGTGGATCGGACTTTTTGTTGGTTTACAATGTACCAGGTGTAAAAGTTAACAAAACTGGTATGAGTTTTCCTTCATGAGGCTTATAGATTAAAAGGTGAGACACAAAAATATATGTAATCAAGTACTTAAGGTATCTTATGCTAAAATAAGTACTGTTAAGTGGTTAAGCCATGAACAGTCAGCCATTCCAATTCCTCAGCAGCTCAGTGGGTGGAGGGGTAATTGGTTTCCACCAAAATCTACAGCTTTGGAAACTCTTTGAGTTTGTTCTACCCACTCATATAGGTCCCATAGGAGTCAGAATAAGCTCAACAGCAGTGAATTTGGGTTCTTAGTTTAGTTTCAATAATCCAGCGTGTGTTTAATTTTTAAAATTTTCCTTTTCAAGTATTTATTGAACAGAATTGAATGGTCTAAGCCTCCAAATGAAAATACATGGTATAGTAAAAGAAGAGATACAAATGATCATATTATGATGTGAAATTAAATTTCATAGAAAAAAAGAAATAAAAAAATAACACTTCCTGGGACCAAAGAAGGCCTTTCACCAATTCTTTTATTTGTTAAAATATCTATGGTTTTTCATCTCATTCAGGCTGCATGCAGGATGGGACAGTGCTGGGGGATGTGCAGCTCCCTCCCTGGGCTGATGGAGACCCTCGGAAATTTATCAGCCTGCACAGACAGGTGAGTCAAGCTGAGTTTCCCTAGGACCTCAAGGGAAGGTGTCCATACAGACTCTCCAGTCTCAGCTTGATGCCTTAGGAAGTTTTCTGTCCTCAAAGCGTGCTCATGGCAAGCTCCTCTCATGGTTTTGTACCTGTAGAACTTAGACAAGGAGCTAAAGTCTGTGTTCTGGGCTGGTAGGAAAAGGCTTGAATTCAGGCTCTCACAAGGGCTCCATTAAGATTTACCTTTGTGCAATTTATCGTGGGAATCACTGGTTGAAAATAAATATCTGTTTATTCTTGGATTCTCTGGAGGTCAAGTCAGTGCCATCGGCCAGCTCTATAAAGAGGACCCTCTCTGCTGCCAAAGAAGGCATGGAGGCCTGGAGAACTTGCTGCTAGGCAAAGATTATGTCAAAACTGAGGACTAATTGGCTCTTAGTCTACACAGGCTGATATGAGTAGAGGTTGGAGGATATTTTGGGATGTCTGCAGTGACAGTATAGTTAATATCACATTGCTGAAGAATATTCCAAAACAGTCGAACAGTAGATAGACAGAGAATGGCCAGAAATTCAGGCAGAGTTTAGAAGAGTCTGTGGCACCAGAGATATCATTACTGATGTCAAATGGATCTTTTTATTTAAAAAATTGTATAAGTAGTTTCATTTACATTATATTTTGTTCATGAAACTGAGTAAGACTTGAAGTGCTTGCTGAAGAAGGTCAAAGACTGTAGTCTTTGATATGGATTGAAGTTCAACATCATGATAACAAAGATTCTCATCACTGGTCCAATTGGCAGCACCATGATGAATGAAGATTGAGGTAGTTAACAATTATAGCTTGCTCAGCTCCACACTCAACACCTTTGGCACCAGGAGTCAGGAAAACAAACAGCAAATTGTACTGGGGAAAATCTACTGTCAGGACCTTTCTGGAATATTGAAAAGCAACAACTGAGGCACACTTGGTCCAGGCCATAGTTTTGGCAATTACCTGCTTTACATCAGAAAGCTGGACAATGACTAATGATGATAGAAGAAGAATCAATGCTTTTAAGTTGTGGTGCTGGAGAAGAATCTTGAACATATCATGGACTGCCAAGAAAACATATTGATTTGTTTTGGATAAGATGAAACCAAGTTTCTCCTTGGAGGCTAGGATTTTGAAGGTCCATCTCACATACTTTGGGCATGTGGCTAGGAGGGACCGGTTCTTGGAGAAGGACATCATGCTCTGAAGGATGGAGGGGACAGCACACGAGAGGAAGACCTCAGATGAGAGGGATTGATACAGTAATTAGGGAAATGGGGATAAGTGTGTTGGAGTCAGTAAGAATGGCTCAGGACAGGGCAGGCTTTAAACCTGCTGTACATAGGGTTGCTATTAACTGCAGGCAACTTGATGACATATAATAACAGTACATATTGTGGGGTGTTTTCTCCCGCTTTCAGTTTCTTACTAATAACTTCCTTTGTGAAAAAATGTAAGCCAACAACTTCATGCCTCATATATTAATATCCTTCTTATAGCCAATTTCTGATTTGCCCATCATTATTAAAGCAGTACTCTGAGGTAACAAGCATGTCCCTTTTGCTGAAGGATCCTCTGTTCAACTTGGAAACTTTAAGCATCTGCATCTACAAGCAAAGTCCAGAGGAGAGCAAGCAATCAGGTTTGTAAGCCTAGCTTACAGCATGAATCATCCTCTCTTCATCTGATTGGGTTCTGGTCAACTCATCTCCAGCCTTCTGTGTCTAGGATCAAATGGACATTGGCTGGAAGTTCAGGAGTCCACTCTTCTCCCTATGATCCAGAACTGCCAGTCTTATCACTCTTCACAGGGGCCAGGTCAGCAATCCAGGGGTCCTTACTACTTCTCAAGCAAACAAACTTTCCCTACTTATCCACACATATTAAAGCTGATGAGCCAATTTCAAAACACTATTACTAACCTGTTAATGTAGTGTATCAGGCTTCTGACCAACAGGATGACAATTTGAGTCTGCTAGTTACTCCTTGTGAGAAAGATTGGCAGTCTCCTCCAATAAAGATTTATAGCTTCAGAAACCCAGTGGAGGATTGTTAATGATTCAGGATCAACTCAATGAGTTTGGGAGGGGAGGATATTAACTAAATTATATCATTTACATAAAGGTTTTACTCTTGATATTGTACATTCATAGTGGTTGTGACAAGACAGTACCACATGTCCACCATGATAGTATCATAGAGAATAGTTGCAAAATTATAAAAAAAGTACTGTACTCTTCTTTCTCTTCCTGAATCCATGGCAAGCACTGGTCTTTGTACTATTGTATCATTCTAGCTTCTGTAATGGTATACAGCATGTAGATTTTTCTTTATGTATGATGTCCCATTCCAAGGAATGGTACTTCCTAACAACATACCCAAAATATGTGAGACAACGTTTTGCCATTCTTGCCTCCAAGAGCACTCTGGTTGTACTTTATCCAAGACATATTTCATCTGTTCCCCACCCACCCTCCACCCCTATCCATACGATATTCAGTACTTTTCTCAAACAACAAAACTCAAAGGTATCAATTCTTCCTTTTTCATACTTAGTCATTATTCAACTTACAGACACATAGCAACTGATTTAAAAGATCATGGCTTGAAGCAGGTGCACCTCAGTCTTTAAATGACATTATTGCTCCTTACCACTTTGGCAAGGTCCTTGTTTATAGACTTTCTCAATGCAATATGTCTTCTGCTTTCTCCATTACTGGTACCAAGTGTGTTGATTGTGAATTTAAGTAATATGAAATCATTGACAATTTCAACTTTTCCCTATCTTTCATGATGTTGCTTATTGGTTCAGTGGTGATAATTTTTTTTCTTCTTAATGTTGAGATGTAATCTATATTGAAAGCTACAGGTCTTCTGCAGCTTCAAGACCTCCTTGTTTTCAGCAAGCAGAGTTGTTTCATCTACATAAGACAGATTATTAATGAGTCTTCCTCTAAACCTGATGCTACATTCTTCTTCATAAAGTCCAGCTTCTCAAAGAATTGACTGAGCATATAGATTGACTAAGTATGGAAAACAAATATCTCTTCCAGTCAGTTGCCCATGTGGTTATTCTTCATATTTCTTTGCACAACATGGTGAGCACATCTAGGGCAGCATCTGTTCGTTGAAAGATGTCAATTGGTATGCCATGAATTCCTGGGGCCTTGTTTTGTGCCAGTTCCTTCAGAGAAACTTGAACTTCTTTCTTCATTACCACAGGCTCTTGCTTATACATTGTTTCATGAAATTTTTCTGTGTCAACAAATTCCTTTTCGTACAGTGACTCAGTATACTACTTCCATCTTCTTTCAATGCTTCCCAGATCATCTACTATTTTGCCAAAGTATCCTTAAGTATTGAAACTTGAGGCTTGAATTTATTCTTCAATTCCTTCAGCTTAAGAAATGCTGAGTTTAAATCACTCCTTTTGATTTTCTGACTCCAGCTCTTTGCATATTTCAGTATAATACTTTGCTTTTTCTTCCTGCACTAACCTTTGAAATCTTCTGTTCAGCTCTTTCACTTCTTGATTTCTTCCCTTTGCTTTGGCTTCTCGGTTTTCTAGCACAATATTCTGAGTCTCTTCTGACATCTATCTTGTTCTTTTCTTCTTCCTCTGTCTTTGTAATGACCTTTTTGCATTCTACATGGATGATATTCTTGATTTCCCACATAGCTCATCTGGTTAGCTCATTAGTGTTCAAAACCTCAAACTGTTCTTGAGATGGTTTTGAAATTCAGGTGGGATAGACTCAAGGTCAAATTTTGGTTCCTGTAAATTCAGAAAACTGGACAATGACTAGGGATGACAGAAGGAGAGTTTATGCCTTTGAGCTGTGAAGAGTATTGAATATACCACGGACTGCTAGGAGAACAAGCAAATTCATCCTGGAGAGGGTGAAACCAGGCTGCTCCTTGGAGGTAAGGATTCTGAAGCTATGTCTGATATACTTTGGGCATGTTGCAAGGAGGGATCAGTCCTTGGAGAGAGACTTCATCCTTGGGAGGGCTGAGGGTCAGTGCAAGAAAGGAAGACCCTCAATGAGATGGATTGACTACAGTGACTGGGGTAATAGGGGTAGGTGTGTCAGAGACAATAAGATTGGCTCAGAATAAATCAGGATTCAGAGCTGTTGTACATAGGGACACTATGAGTCACAAGCAACTCAGTGACACACAACAACATGTATGCAGAAAAGATACAGCACTGATGCAGACCTTTCTTGATTTTAAACTATGTAGTGTTTCTTTGCAATGTTCACACAATGGCCTTTTGGTCTAGGTATAAGTTTCACATGAGCATAATTAAGCGATCTGAAATTCTTATTCTTCTCAACATTTGCCATAACATTTGTTAGGATCCCCACAGTCAAATGCCTTTGCCTACTCAATAAAATTAAAAAAGACATTCTTCTGGTATTCTTTGCTTTCAGCTAAGATCAATTTGACATAGTACAATCATTATGGAAGACAGTTTGGCATGTCCTCAAAAAGCTGACCATAGATACCCCATGTAACTGAGTTATTGCACTTTTAGACATATACTTCAAAGAATTTAAAACTGAGAGAGAAATGGAGATTTGTGTATCTATGTTCATAGTAGCATTATTAACAATAGCAGGAAGATGGAAGCAGCCCAAACATCCAGTACCAAATGAATGAATTGAGAAATTGTGGTACAGTCACACAAATACTATGCAGCATATAGGAATGAGTTTGAAAGCATTATACAATATGGAGACACTAGAGGGCATTATGTAACTCAGTCACATAAGGACAAATACTGCATAAGGTCATTGATGTGATGATGGAAGGATGACTGCTAATATGTGTATAAATATCAGGAAGGGGAATGAGGATGGAAGGGAAACGTGGAGGAACAGTGCAGGAGAGGAAGACCCCAAATGAGATGGATTAATACAGTAACTGGGGCAACAGGGGTTGGTGTATCAGAATTAGTGAGACTGGCTAAGGACAGGG